AAAACACTGGGGAATACAGAACATTATTTCATACAGTACTTTTCAAAGTTTCCAACAGGATATGACAAACTACACAAGCTACGAGCTATCTTAAGATGCCCTTGATAGAAGCTGATGCCCTGTAGATCCATCTCATTGATTTATCAAGTCCAGCACATAATCTCTGATTATCTGCCAAATGAAACTTAACCCAAGCTGATATTTTGGGTCAAAAATTTCTACAAAGAGAGGAAAGAGGGAGGAAGAATGCAGTCATAACATTCAATGCATATCCTATGAAACTACAAAAACTGAGGGGCAAGGTAGGGTTGGTATAGGGAAGAATGATGAAAAGGGTGATATTAATCAAGATGCAGTACACATAAACTAACATGTTAAATGATAACCATTTAATACAACTAAAGATAATTTCAAAAAATGTATTATGAAAAATCAGGATGCAAACAAAATGCTCCGTTCAAATGCTCTATTCTGGCTCACGAGTTAGCATATACTCTTGTTCTGTCCTCCATGACAACTTCCTTGAGAACTCTACAAAGTAAAGATTACACAAACAAAATGCCTAAGCATTTAAAAAATAAAGCAGTCATACGATGCCACTGATGCTACTCTTTCAATGGTACAGATTTAGCTGCTGAGCATTCACTCAAGATAACTCGGCATTCACTCAGTTACAGATGCATAAGACATTTAGAATAAAAAGACAAGTCACAGTCCTCAAAGGAGGTCCAGTGAAGATATTAACACAAAAACAGTTAACACAACTATTGCCTTAATAGGTGTTACTGCCAAGAGACTATGGATCCATAAACAAAAGAATGCCAACAGTTTGTTCTGTTTCATTCTGTTCTATCATGAAGAGAGTACAGAAGTTCCAGGAAAGCTTTCCACAGGTGGACATAGGTTTAATACTAAGAGAGAAAGAAGGAAGAGGTTTTTGCCAAGCAGGAAGAAGAAGAGGGAAGAAAGAAAAAACTTGATGTAAAAGAATCACATATATTTTACGCATGCGCATGTGCACGCATACTGATGTTTGAATGCAGGGCCTGGACACTGTCCCTGAGCTTTTCTGCTCAAGACTAGCACTCTACCACTTGAGCCATAGCTCCATTTCTAGCTTTTTTGCTGCTTAACTAGAAATAAGAGTCCCCGGGGGGGGGGGGGGGGGGGGGGGGGGGGGAAGGATTGGGATTAGGGGGGGAGGGGGGAGGCTGGGAAGGGATGTGAAGGGTAAACAAAGGAGGAGGCTGCAATGCTTGGTAAGAAATGTACGCATTATCCTGCCCATGTAACTGTAACTCCTCTGTACAGTATGTTCACAAATAAAATTAAATTAAATTAAAAAAAAAGAAGCAGCACTTTCAGGATTATATTTTATAAGTATTTTATCTTCTGGAAGACAGATTTAAAAAAAATAAACCACTCATTTTTAAGCTGAAAAAAAAAAAAGAAATAAGAGTCCCCTCGTGTTTCCTGAATGGGTTGACTTCTTCAAACCTCAATCCTCAGATCTCAGCCTCCTGTGTAGCTAGATTACAAGTGTGAGCCAGCCACCCAGCTCACAGATATTACAGGAAAGCCAATCCATGAGAATGTTGTACAACTCTAAAAAGTGATGTCAAAATATTTAGTCAAGAGGCATATAACTGCGGAATGGCAAAGCTGAGACAATAGATTCCTTCGCTCTTAATTATTTTGTCACTCTTCACTGTAAAGTTTATAGCTATTATTAAATAGCACTCTTCTAAAATATAACCATTTGAAGCTGGTTGAAATGATACACACCTTGGGCTGGGAAGGTGGCTCAGTGGTAGAGCGCTTGCCATGCATGACTGAGGCCCTGGGTTCGATTCCTCAGCACCACATAAGCAAAAAGAAAAAAGCCGGAAATGGCGCTGTGGCTCAAGTGGTAGAGCACTAGCCTTGAGCTGAAGAGCTGAGGGACAGCGCCCAGGCCCAGAATACAAGCCCCATGACTGGACCCCCCCCCCCCCAAAAAGAAAAAAGAAATGATACACACCTGTAATCCCACCATTTAGAAGGTAGAAACAGGAGATTCAAAAGTTCAAGGCTAGTCTTGAGATCCTGTCTCAACAAACAAACAAAAAAAAAAAAAACAAAAACTAGGGCTGAGGAAGTTGTAGTTCAGTAGCAGAGTACTTGCCTAAAGCATAAAGGGTCTGAGTTCAGCTCTGAGAATCACAGGAAAAAAAAAGAAAAAAGCAAGCAATCAAGACAGAAATAGAGATCATTCTGAAGCAAGGCATTTTTTTTAAAGAAACAAGATAGTTATTGTTTTTTATAGGACCATAGTGCTAAACTCAAAGTGGGACATGTACTGACTATAAAAATAAACTTTCACCGGGTACCAGTGACTCATGCCTGTAATCCTAGCTACTCAGGAGGCTGAGATCTGAGGATCATGGTTCAAAGCCAGCCAGGGCAGAAAAGTCCATGAGACTCTTATCTCCAATTAGCCACTAGAAAACTGGAAATGGTGCTGTGGCTCAAGCAGTACAACGCTCGCCTTGAGCTGAAGAGCAAAGGGATAGCACCCAAGCCCAGAGTTCAAGCCCCACAACCGACCAAAAATAAAAAAATAAAAAATAAATAAAAGTCTCTGGTTTTATATCTATCTTTATACATTCTTTACAATTACTGATAGTTTTTGACATACTAACATTAAAAGAGACACTGTTTTTTGTTTTTTGCTGGTTGTGGGGCCTGAACTCTAGGCCTGGGTGCTGTCCCTCAGCTCTTCAGCTCAAGGCTAGGACCCAGCACTTGAGCCACAGCGCCACTTCCAGATTTTTCTGCTTATGTGGTGCTGAGGAATCGAACCCAAGGTCTCATGCATGCAAGGCAAGCACTCTACCACTGAGCTACCTTCCCAGCCCTGAGACACTCTTCTTAATCTAGCTTTAATTTTATCAAGAATCATTCCTGTAAAGAATCATTCCAGTAAAATTTATTTCACCTGGCTTGTAATTTGGCACAGCCAAATTGAATTGCAAGACATTACTTACAAGACTGATGATTCACTGCGGTATTATAAGTAACAAAGATTAAAAGCAATCTAAATGAGATAAAGGACAAAGTGATACAACAGTGATACACAACAATATGTTGGAAATGATCTGTACAACCTGGGGGAGGGATTGGTGGGTAAGGAAAATGGGAGAAAAATGAGGGAGGAGGTAACAAGTTCTACAAGAAATGTACTCACTACCTTACTCATGTAACTGTAACCCTATGTATATCACCTTGACAAATTAAAATTAAAAATTAAAAAAAGCAACCTAAATACCCACCAATCAAAGACACAACAGTAAAGTAAGTAGAGCAACCCAGGGAGATGAGGATTTAAGAAATGATATGTGAGAGATAGTGGGACAGAAATCAGGGAACTGGTGAGTGTACAGAAGGGCTAGAGAGGGGCAGGAAGTAAATGGGATTTGGCAATAAGTTGTACTCCGGTGAAAATTCAGGGAAAGAATGGAGTTGAAAATTAAAAAGTTGGGAGCTGGTTGGCTCATACCTATAATCCTAGCTCCTCAGGAGACTTGAGATCTAAGACTCACAGTCCAAAGCCAGTCTCAGCAAACACAAGAGACTCTTTAACCAGCAAAAGGCCAGGAGTGAAGGTGTGACTCAAGTGGTAGGGTGCCAGCCTTGAGAGAAATAGCTAAATGAGAGCAGGAGGCTCTGGCTTCAAGCTTTAGTACTGTCATGTGTGCGTACATACGTACACACATGTACACACAGACACACACACAGACATACACACACACATAAAGAATTAGGGGGGGGAAATCACTAAAAGCTACAAGGCATGGTTCTTGGATTTTATCTACAACGTATATTTAGTGCCCAAGCACTAAATCAGTGTTTTAAATCAGTGTTTTGTGTTTAAAAGCAAAAAGACAAAGAAAACAATTTGTCCTAACAATAGAAAAGGTAAATATATAGTGCCGGGAGCTGGTGGCTCACGCCTGTAATCCTAGCTACTCAGGAGGCTGAGATCTGAGGATTGTGGTTCAAAGCCAGCCTGGGCAGGAGAGACCGTGAGACTCCTATCTCCAATAAACCACCAGAAAACCGGAAGTGACGCTGTAGCTCAAGTGGTAGAGCGCTCGCCTTGAGCTGAAGAGCTGAGGGACAGCGCCCAGGCCCAGAGTTCAAGCCCCACGACCGACAAAAAAAAAAAAAAGGAAAGGTAAATATATACTGATAAAATTTAACTCTGGTTAAATTAATTGTTTTAAAAAGCTACTTAGTGCAACAACTATCTGGTATGAACAAGAATAAGACATCTCAAGCCACAAGGCAAATGAGGAGCAAGGTCCAAGCATAAGGCATGCCTCAGCACTTTCTAGGAAGTGTGGTTATTCCAGAATGGTAGCCCTGGTCATCTCTTTCTGGGTGAGTTTTCTGACACCAGAACTCAATTGACATCTAGCCCTGGCATAAAGCTAGTATCTGACATCTAGGCACTGGTTACTTCACTGAGGCAGGCCTGTAAGGGAGAGCTGGGAACCAGTAACCAAATTCCCCCTTAAGCGGAGGATTTCCTACCATTTGCCCAGATTTAACTGTTGACTTCTAATACGCATACTGGGAAATGTTAGAAACTAGTGGACAAACTGCTCTTTAGAGATGACAATACAAAACTAAATAATACAAAACTAAAGTACATTGTGTATCTGTTTTTGTATTACAAAATGAGTATTTAGGGTAACAGAAAAACATAGGGTTTTAAATAAATGTTGACAAGGTAGTAAATTAGCTGAGATATAAAATATATTCAATTAAATTTTTCATAGTTTATGTCAAATTTCAAACTAACAAAATCAGATAATTTGATCAATATTCATCTAGAAAATATTCATAACTTTGTATCATAATCAAATGAACAGGATTCCAAACGTATATTAAACAACCAAATTCCAACCACATGGAGAAACCTAAAGAGACAAAAATCAATACAATTGGTTGTTTACCTGCAGCTCCTTTGAAACTCTCTCTAAGTGATTAGTTATCTTCTTAATCAGGTCACTATACATCTGTTCTGAGTGCTGCTGGCATACACACTTATACACACAACTGCAAAAAGAAAGAAAAACCAAGTTAAAGAAGCACTTAGTTCGGTGTAAAGCTAAAGCATACTTTCAATCACTGATCAAATAATTCATCATTAACGCAAAGGACGAACCAAAACTTCTAATAAAAATCTCCCCTCCCCTAGTCAGTGTTCAGACAGGAAAAGTATCACCACTAGCTACAAATAATCTCAGCAGTACAGTATACATTTGGTCAGCACTAGAAAATCTATTAATAAATAAAATAGCATCTTTACAATAAAAATAAAATAAATAAAAATCTATTAATCTAGACAATCTATTATTGAGGTCTGGGGTCTGAATATGACAACTCCTTATAAACCTTTGTTTCATAAATGCCAAAATAAGGAAGTGTGTGATAATCAGTAAAGAAAAAGTTTCTAATTCACAAAAATGTTTACAATACCATCTCTGTATATCAGCTGTATGGACAAAGCTGCTACTTCTTCCTCCTGTCACTGTGTTCATCTCATATCCCAACCTAGTTCCTAATTTGTTGCTTCCATTTACCAGAAGCTGGGAAATAAGTTTGAATTGTGTCAAATATGAAAGGATTAAACCAAGGCCTTCTTGTGGGACTACAAATCCTAGTTTTACATGACATACGTCCATCATTCTTGCTTTTTTTCACAGCCCAGAGCAGTTTCTGTGCTACTCATAGTGGCAAGCTGACATGGAAATCTTTTAGGGACCCAATTTTCCCTCTCTTGATTTGAAAACCACTTTTGAATCCAAAGACATACCTAGAATTTCATATTTTACATACATGTATGCACACTGTCATAACTCAAACTGACCTAAACCTCAGTATGTCATTTCAAACTCAGGCAAATTAAATCTTGACTTACCTGTATATCTGTTCATAGGATATGGGGATATAGTCACCAGGACTCTGGGTTAAAAGCTGATCTATGGCACCGTCCAATTTTGGCCAGTATGTGCTCTTATAATCTTCAATAGTTATAACATTCATTACTACAAGTAAAAAGTAAAGTGAATGTTACTATGTGCCACATGTATAGTAAATGCAACTCATAGCAACTGTGTACTCTCAGCCAAATTCTTCCTTCCATTTCTTATCCCATTGTAATTAAGGGGAGGGGCAAAGAGAGATCCTGGTCAGTGATGCTAATCATGAATTTAACAGAAACTATCATGAGACTGTCCATCTTTAAGAATAACAAAACAAGCAAATATCATTGGTTTCCTTTCCAGTTTTTTTTTTTTTGGGGGGGTCCGGTCGTGGGCCCTGAACTCTGGGCCTGGGCGCTGTCCCTCAGCTCTTCAGCTCAAGGCTAGTGCTCTACCACTTGAGCCATAGTGCCACTTCCGGCTTTTATCTTTTTGCTTATGTAGTGCTGAAGAATCGAACCCAGGGCCTCTGGCTTGCAAGGCAAGCGCTCTACCACTGAGCCACCTTCCCAGCCCATCCTTTCCAGTTTTTTTATAAGCTTTGCTCACTAGCAGAGTTATTCTCAAACATGACATGACCCTCAATACAGTGTCAGTAATGTGGCAAAATGGCCTACCAACACACCACAAAAAGGTTCTAGGAAACTATGGACAGCAACAGTCAACCCTGGAAACATTCCTGGGAAAATCTACCTAATGACAGGACTATAAGGACTAAAGTCTAGGTGGCTATAGTCTCAAAACAGGTTTCCAGAAAACCTGCCAAGCTCTTGGATATCACCACTACACCACCACAGCTCTAACTCAGGCTCTATCTGGAATTAGATTATTCTAACCCAAAACAAGCCAATGGCCTGGATCTTTCCTACTGACAGGTTCATTCTTTCACTATGCATCTTATAATTATTTAAAGTTTCCCTACAACTTTGAAATCTAGGGTGACAGTTACTTCACAACAATGAAGTACTGTTTTCTTTAAAAAAAAAAAAAAGGTGGGGGGTGGGGAGGGAAGGCTGGAAGAGCATGCCTATAATCCTACTTGGGAGGCTTAGACATGGAAGACAAGGTTTGAGGCCAGCCTAGGAAGATAAGTTTCCAAGCCTCCTCCTCAATGGAGAGCTGGACATGGTGGTATGCACCTGTTATCCTAGATACCGAGAGAAACCTAATATAGTCAAACCGCACCCAGGCATGTCCCTGGGCAAAAAGTAAAAGAATTTGCCTGGCAAGCATAAGGCTCTAAGTTTAAACCCCAGTATCATTAAAAGAAACAAACAAACAAAAGAGAATGGGGGGGGGGAGGAAAGTTGCCCAAACAATATCTTTACCATGGAGACAGGAGCTAACAACTACTAAATAATAATAATAATAATGTTTATGCTACCAGAAGGGGAGGGGGAGGAGTAAAGTGGCTTCCTCCAGAATACATGGCTAACCACTAGCAGAAGTACCAGGAAAAGGTATTTGCCTGAGTATTGTCACTATTAACTTCTAAACATAGTCATTGAAATTCCAGGTATTTTTCAGAGTATACCATCTACTGTTTTTATTCAGTATTTTGTTGAAATCAACGCATTTTCATCTTTACTTAATTTTAAAGGGCATGTGAGGGGAGTGGGGAGTTGGGGAAGGAAAGTGGGAAAAATGAGGGAGGGGGTAACAATATTGAACAAGAAATTTACTCATTACCACCTTACTTACATAACTGTAACTTCTCTGTACATCACCCTTATGGTAAAATAAAGGGCATAAGAGGAATGATTTAAAGATTCACAAAACATGGCATAATCTTAAATACAGCCTTATGCTAAGGCTGGTGATGTAACTTGACGGTAGAGAGAGCTAATCTAGCAAAAAGAAGGCCCAGGTTCCAACTTTAGTCTAGCAAAAAAATGGATAAATTTTTGTTTGGTTGGTTAGTTAAGATGAAATTTAAGAGCTAATATGGGGATGTTTAGGGCAATGAGATGCTTTTTGTGGGACTGGGATAGTGGATATGCCATTGTACACATTTATGAAAAACAATGGAACTGTACATAATAAAGTGAATTTACAGTATATCAAGTTAAAATTAACAAGGCTATCGTGGAAAAGATGGGATGCAAACTATGACAAGGGTATCTACTTTTAAAACAAATCACAGAATCTACAATATATAAAATAAGAAGAATGTTTTGACTGGATAGAAAGCTAAATACATAAAGAATTCAACATGTACATGCATACTATGTGCAAACCATTTCCACACACACAAGGAAGACAAGAGCACATGGGGCCTATGAGGCCTGCTTTATGCTGCTCTAAAGGTGCTGTTAACTGTGAGATGGGCCCTTGGAGAGTTTGAAACACAGTAGTGACACAAGAACAGTGTTGAGAGCAAACTAACTAGAAGGCTGTGAGTTACGGGAGGTATACTGGTGTACTGGGGCAGGGGGAGCCTTGAGGATAGGGGGAAGTCCGATTCTGAATGTATTAAGGTAGAACCAAGTAAGATTGACTAATGGGATGGATCAGATATATGAGAAGTGGGTCAATGACTCCAAAATCGTTTTACCTGAACAACAAAAGATGGGATTGGCTGTATTCCCAGATGATTAAAAAAAAAAAAAAAAACACCCTAGAAACAGGAGCTAACAATTACTACAATACAATTACTATACTGGTCTAAGGACATAGCAAATATTGTTGGTGTCCCAACCCACTCACCCCATCAATATCTACAACTATATGCCTTTTCTTCAGGATAGAGAGTCGTAGGCACTCCCAGAGCTGCCTGCAACCATGACTACTGCAGAATCAGGGTGATTACCCCAGTAGCTTCCGCTGCTGTCAGTGAGAGGCACATATGCTACATTGAAGCCCCAGTTTCCCAAATTTCTACTGTGGTAATAACTCATCTGCTTCCTTTCCTTCTGTCTCATTTCCCCAACTTCTCTACAGGTGCTTCCAAGGGCCACTCCCTTATGCTTGAAACTATTTGTGTGTGAAAAAATGACTAAAAAAATATAGCTGGTGCTGATGGCTCAAACCTGGAATCCTGAGATCTGAGAATTTCTGTTAGAAGCCAGCCCAGGGAGGAAATTCCATGAGACTCTTATCTCCAATTAACCACCCAAAAGCCAGAAGCAGAGCTGTGGCTAGCCTTGAGAGAGAGAGAAAAAAAGAAAAATTCTGCTGCCTGCTAAATATCTTGAGCCTGAAATTTACTTGCCCTGTTAAAAAGGGAGATTGGCAAATGTTATAAAAAGTGTTACAAGCTTGTGAAATACTACCTTCTCTTATGTAATCAGAAAGATTTTTAAAAACTGTTACCTCTTCTTAGAAGACTGGCCAATCCCACCACAGAATAAGAGAACAGAGCTCAGACAAGCATCTACAAAGCCAGAGACAGCCTGAGGAACAATCAAGAGTTGGTGCAAAGTCTCTTCACATTGCCTGCAGCCCACACTTACAATGACAAGCCAGGAATTTTTTTTTTTTTTTGGGGGGAGGGGGTCCGGTCATGGGGCCTGAACTCTGGGCCTGGGCGCTGTCCCTCAGCTCTTCAGCTCAAGGCTAGCGCTCTACCACTTGAGCCACAGCGCCATTTCCGGCTTTTTCTTTTTGCTTATGTGGTGCTGAGGAATCAAACCCAGGGACTCAGGCATGCAAGGCAAGCGCTCTACCACTGAGCCACCTTCCCAGCCCAGGAAATTTTTTCAGTGTTATTTCCTTATCCCAATCCAATCCCTGGTTAAAAAAATTAGTAGTCTGTTCAGTTTACTAGCAATTTTAACAAATGAGTGTGTGTGGAGGGGTGGTAATTCTGAATTATAGCCTTTTGCTACAGAAATGAAATCACTTTAACTCTCTGACCATTCAAAGGTTCAAACTGACCACAAGAAACAGTAACCAAAATTCATGCAATGTATAGGAAATAGATTACCAACTTATAAAGGCTACATGGGACATGGGATGGTATAGGCTGACAGTTTAAGAGAAAGGCTGCAAGTAGAAAATGTAAAATTCATTCATAATTCTACCACCAATACACTGGTATATAACATCAGTCTCTTTTTCAATAGACATTACATGTGGTTAAATACAGATTTCTAGAAAGTTAAAGCAGTCTACCTTTTACAATTCTTTTGTGGAACTTTTAATGCAGTATCATTAAATAGAAGCAAATAAAGAATGGTATCTAAACAAATGAACTCACTACTAAATTACTAATTGTTATCTAGGTTAAATTTTCCAATTGAAAATAAAGAACTACTTTTTAAGCTATTTTAGAAAGACCAGGCACTATTGAAGCTGGACACAATATCACATGTCTGTAGTCCCAGCTACCTTGGGAGACTAAGACCTGAGCCCAGAAGTGAGGAGACCAGTCTAGATAACCTAGCAAAATCATTTCAGGAAGGAGGGAGGGAGAAAGGGAGGGTAGGGAGGAAAGAAAGGGAGGTGGGAGAATACTACAAACTCAAATGCAAGGTCTACACAGCAGGCACTACTTTGGTCTACTGCACAAACTAATCATTACCTTCTATCAGTGGCTGTAAAACTGACAGCCAGAGAGCATCTTCAAAATTATTGCAAATGCAAACTGTCAGAACCCAACCCAAATAGACTGGTTGGGAACCATCTGTGATGGGTGGGTAGATGGGTGGGACCTTGGAATCTGTTTAACATACCCACCTCCAGTGATCCTCAAGGCTGCTGAGTTTGAAAGCCACTGCCTAATGCTACTGTGTGGACAGCAAGGCAACTATATCCATCTTATTACAATTGCTAGTAAGGGGTTCTCTGTCATCAACAACGTGGAGAGTCAAATAAAGGAGTAAATATAAGAAAATGTTAAGATTATATCTAGGAATTATTTTTATATCGAGGATTCACATTTTACTATGTATCCTCAAGAACCCCTTACTTGGAACTGACTCCCTAGCTGGGTACCTGTGGCTCAGGCCTGTAATTCTAGTTCCCAGAAGACTGTGATTCAATGCCAGCCTGGGTGGTAAAGTTCAAGAGACTCTATATTCAAAATAACCAGCAGAAAGTTAGCTAGAGGTATGCGTCAAGTA